GGTATGCAATCGGCGTCGCCCATGGACACCTGGAACACCAGAGGTGTTACAAGTGCGTCACCGGCTTTTTGGGGATTAAGAATTTGAGGTTCGTTGGGGATTCAGGGATTGGGGAGATTGGGAAAGGGGAAGGTAATTGGGCCTCCGGTAACCTCACTTACACGACGAAGCACAACGCAAGCGTTGCTTCACGTCGGTTTTCTGTGATGCCGTGGTATTACTCCGGTCGAGCCAGCCCATTCGTGCCGAAGTATGGCTCTCACATACTTAAAATTCTTTCTTTCTCGATTTACAAAACGTACAAACCAACAACCTGTACATCCACATTTACCATATTACTAAGTAGAAGTAGTTTGTGATGTCTGCTTGCTATCATCTTGTTAATGAAGGGATCTTACTAATTGGACTGTCAACTAAACGTCTGTGAACATTACAGATTGCGAAAAGCGACCTTATATCTTTATAGTTAAGGTACTGCTGAATAATTGACATGAACTTTATAATTATCTAATTAATGTAGGTTGTGTGTTACCTAAATATTGCAATAGACACGAAGGAATATAGGAAACCATCGTCATGTCATCATACCATTGCAACAATCCATAAATTGAAATGATATTTATTTCTGCAAATAGGTTTCAATACAAAGTAACACTTTTACACGTCACTCTTTAAATTGCTAGACGAGGGCCGGCGTTTTTTTTTGAGGGCGGAAAGTCATCCAATGACTTCTCCCGCCCGGGTCAAGCGGGAGGGAGTGTCAGACTCTTACTGACTTAAAACCACGCCATTCCTACTCCTGCCCTTCAAACCGGAGACCCGGCAACCCATTAAGTCCTCCACGGCTTCGTATTGGTATCAGCCCTATTGGGCCCCCCATTCGTGGTGGTCTGATGGCTCTTTGAGGTTCGCGCGGGACGCGACTCGCCGTAAGCTCGGTAACAAAGATCTTAAGCTACTTCCAAACAAGATTAAGTTAATCCAAGGTTGTTTTATTGCAAGCATATTTGCTTATTGCAAGGTTTAACAATAAAACTGTATTAGTACATAATCCTAACTTAACTCCTAAGTTACTACTAAGTTAAGTGAATTAGAAACGAAATTGGTTACTGATTTTTGGTTTAATAGCTGTTTTAAAGCGAATTTGGATTAACTATTTTAGTGGGTCATTGGATTTATATGTATTGTTTTGTTATGTACTATAGTTATAAATAGTCCGAACTTATTATCTACCCACTCTTCTTTAGTCTAATGTTATTAGTCTAATTGTTTAAGGGATATCATTATAACCTAAAAACTACAGTATTCTACGTTAGTTCTAGATGCTGGTCGCTACTATTCCAGGCGATCTGGAAGCTAAAAATCTTTGTGGCTGATATTATGATGACGTATGAACTTGAATTACGTCATTGATAGATAAATGCATAGATACAAAAAATGCATGTTTGCTATCAATAATGTTAAATAGTTATATCATGTATTCTGACAGATTAATTAGATATCACTGAATTTTTTTTATGACGAAGGAAACCTTCTATCTATGCCTACCTTTTTTGAGGTAAAAAAAATAGGGAGTGTGGGATTATACCTCCCTAGAATATCCCTGGTGGCCACCATAATCACCTATAGGAGGCACGGAGATCTCTAATAGACCTGCTTCGAAGGCCTCAACCACTGACATATGGTGAAGCAAAACAGTGAGAAAATCTGGACGTATAACATCACACTAATATTATAAAACTTTGTTCGGATATTTGTATGTTTGTCCGTTAATCACACTGAAACTACTAAACTGATTTTGATGAAATTTTGCATACAGGCAGGGTATGGGCTGACTTAGGTAATAGGATATTTTATCACGATTCTACCTCTATATACAAAGCTTCCATGGGATAAGACAGGAATCATATTCCACGCGGATGAAGTCGTAGGCCTGTTGCCCGTCCAAATCAGATTATAAGCTTAAAATCGCCAATTCGCCTTGAGCAAGCGTGGTGATTTTTTTTTTAAGAAACATTGCCTCATACTCCAATTTTGTCCTGTGTCGTGGTTGCGTTTACAAACATACAAGTTCACATACACATGACACCCAGACCCGGAGCAACAAATTGTGGATCACACAAAGAGTTGCTCCGTGCGGGTATCGAACCCGCTACACGTTGCGTGGCAGCCGGTTGCCCAGCCACCGCACTCTCCGTGTTGTCAACCGTAATTAATGCCCATTTCTTCTTCGTGTGAGAAGAGGTTATTGCTCAGCAGTGGGACAGTTGCAAATGATGACTCAACAGAACTAATCTTCTAAAGTTACCATAACATATAGTTTTCCGATCCATTTACTCTACATTTACATTCTATGCCGCAATGAGATGTAACTCCATACGCGACCTATGTGCCGTGATGTGCAATAATTTCGACAGAGCCCCATTAATGTAACTACATAAGTGCTATTATTGCGTGTACTAGTTTATTTTTTGAATTTTTCGTCTAATGATCTTATGGAATAACGATTTTTTATTTTATTATATTTTTGACTTAGGTAGAGTGATCGCAAGATACTGCTAAAATGGTCTCGGTTTTGATTCCCGGTATTTTTTAATCGTTCACTAGGATTTTCTCCTGTGTCGTGGGTGCGTTTACAAACATACAAGTTCACATACACATGACACCCACACCCGGAACAATAATAATCTGTGGATCAAATAAACAGTTGTTTCGTGCGGGAATTGAAACCGCGACACGTTGCGCGGCTTCCCAGCCACCGCGCCAACAGTGAAAATTTTACTAGGTTTTTTCTTTTCTGTTGGTAATAGGAGTTTTTATGTCATATGTGTATCATTGTCTGCTTCTTTGGTCGAGAAGTTTCTAGTGCGACTGTCGCTAACTGTGTCTCGATTTCAATATTTGGGTCAGTAAAATATTACTCAACAATACTACTTAGTATAATAATACTGAGGCTGAAATTATGCCCAAATACATAGGCATCACATAACGTGTACAAAGTAAATGTTAGATTGCAAGTATTAAGAACACTTCTGCCTACCCAAGTGAAACAAGTGAATTTATTTCTGCAAATTTATTTCTGCAAATAGGCTACAAGGCAGCACATTTACACGTCAATTTAATCAAGCGAACGATGAGGTCGACATTTCCTAACTGACTACTCTGAGAAGAAATGCCGAAACAAACTCAAAGGTCCGTTTCATTTCCCTTCGTAACTTAAAAAAACGTGAGACATTCTGTTATAAAAATGCAAACAATCATTTGTCTGACTTTGGTATTGAATTCTCATATTGGCTTAAAATTCAATTAATTTCAATCACTTTGCAACGACAATAACATAAACGATAAATACTCTATGGCAATACTAAAACATGACAGCTATGTAGAGGTATATTAGTTAGAGCCAAACAATGACTAAGATATCTTCTATACAAATATTTAACTTTAGAAGGATTGTAAAAACATTAATAAATCGAGTCTAATGTCATGTTAACTCACACTTGACCGTTCTGAGTTGTCATGAAGACAGAGGTGCAAGTTACTGCCCTTAATGCCACTGTTTTGTAACACCCACTTTTCATTTTTTATAGTATAAGTCCCATGTGGGACTGAGCCAATTACAATATACCCGGCACAATTCCATTGAGAAAACCCAGTAAATAATTTCATGACAAAAAAATGTAATAAATGTAGCAACTGAGAATTGAACCTGTAACCTTCTAATCTGTAAGTGGTTACTTACAACGACGATTTCCGAATGAAAAACATACTCATACCTTCGTTGACACAGGAATCAAATACAGTACCATACACATCACACATCACAACAACACTTCAACAGCCTATAAGTGGCCACTACTGACCAAAGGCCTCTTCTCACACGGAGAAGGTTTGAGCATTAATCACCACACTTGCTCAAAGCTTGTTGGCGACCTCAAACTAATAAATAAAAATTGTAAGCTCATATTTCCTCACGATGTTTTCCTTCACCGTTTGTCAGTGGTGTCTAAATAATCTAAGAAAGTACATATAACTCCCAAAAAGTCACATTGGTACTAGCTGTTGGCAGGTTTGGAACCAGGACTCTCATGCATGAGAAACGGGAGTCTTAAGCCACCGGGAAACAACGATATTAAATTATTAACGTATCATACGCTTAGGCATACAAAATCCAAAATATCAATAATTACTACAAAAGAAATTACTTAAAACCGCTTAATTTTTACATAAAACTGTGAATTAAATGTTAATCACTGACCAACGGTAGTTAAAATATACAAAGTGTATAATCACTATTATATTCAAATTACTCAGCTTCCACAGTTAGTTTATGCTGAATAATTTAACTTGTAACTTATGACTGTTAACTTAGAACTGTACATAATTATAAACTTATAAGTTCAGAAATTGATGTTGTTTATTTATTGTCTTTTTTGTTTTTGTTGATAAACATAGCATAACACGCCTTTTATTCTCGAAGGGCTCTTAATGCCCCTGTACAATGTAACACCTACTTTTCACTATTTATGTTATGAGTCCCATGTGAGGTGGTGAGCCTATTGCCATATACCAATCACAATTCTAGGCTCCGTGCTATTACTATTTAAGTTAAGTTAATGTCAATTTGAATTTATTTGTGCGAATAATAATGCAGTTGATAATTAATATTTTTTTTATTTTTATCCAATCATTTTATTCTATTGTTATTTTGAAGTGAAATATGCATTATTCTATTAATATATTATATTAATTGCTTGTAACGTTATTGTGTATATCATAATAGTTTATTTGAAACTCTATATATTTATCTCTTCACAAAGATATAACAAAATAACTTTACATTTTCACAACTATCCCCCATTTTGGAATGAAAACCTCATTTAATATTTCGATAACCTTTCTAAAACGAAACACAACAGTCCTGTAAAAGTAAAAGAAAAAACACAAGAGCCCAAAAATAATCGTTACAGAAAAAAAGTAATAAAAAAATTAAAACTAACTTTTTTTTTCGAATCTCCGATGCGTTGCGTTGAGCACTAACACTGCACTTCACTATAACCCACACAGAGACGTGTGCACGTTGAGACTGAACACAAAACACTGGCGTTCACACAACCTAAACACTATCTTATATACTTGCTCTGAATTCTAACTCAGTTTACCAACCAAGGATGCGACTGGTGGGGTATTTCCGGGTGCTTTTTTTAAGTAACTGAAAAATGGGAGTATGTTTCTCTTTCTCTTATCGTTTTAAAGTCGCTTTTTGGAAACTTCTTAAGTTGTAGTCGAAATATTGCAAACATACTTTGAAAAAAAGAAAGAATGAATGAAAAAACATTCAATTGAGCACCAGTCACGATGCAGCATATTTTTTTTATGGCATAAGCCGGTAAACGAGCAGACGGATCACCTGATGGTAAGCAACCGGCGTCGCCCATGGACACCTAGAACACTAAAGGCGTTACAAGTGCGTTACCGGCTTTTTGGGGATTAGGAGTTTGAGGATCGTTGGGGATTCAGGGAATACAATATAAAATACATCGAAGGTGTGACAATAGAAGTGAGTAAAACATTAAGTTATAAGATTAAAACAGAAGTTAGTTAAGTACTAAAAAAGTTTTGATCGTCAGTGTTATAATAAAAATATGTTGCTCTGTAGGGCTGTGTGTGTAAGGAAGTGCTGGACTGCCTCGATAGTCGAGAGGTCAAGCGCGACTGTTGAGCAAGGAGTTTCAGGCGTCATTCCTAGTCGAGCGAAATACTATGGGTTGTTTTCGGATTTTCGATATTTTCTATCGTGTATTGATTTGTATAGAGGTAATATGATATCAGAATCACTAATAGACTGATAATTGCTGGTGGAGTGTAAGTGCTGAATTGTATATATTATGTGCAGTTTATAGCTGCTTACCTCTTCGTAAATTATGTGTGTATTAGAGCCAAGCTTCGGCACGAATGGGCCGGCTCGACCGGAGTGATACCACGGCCGAGCAGAAAACCGACGTGAAACAACGCTTGCATTGCGTTTCGTTGGGTGAGTGAGGTTACCAGAAGTCCATTACCTCTCTTCCCAATCTCTGAATACCAGACAATCCTCAAATTCCTAATCCCCAAAAGGCACTTGTCCATGGGCGGCCGATTGCTTACTATAAAAAATCCGTCTGCTCGTTTACCGGCTTATTCTATAAAAAAATTATAGGGCAAGACAATAAGTTAAGGACTTATGCTTTATTGCAGACAGGGAAATCTTTGGTATTGATAGGTTACTGACCTTTTTGCGATACCATTGTTTTAATTTTTGTAGGAAATGCGTCTGTACTCGCACATAGACATTCATGCTCTGAATTCGTTATGATTTTATTATCATTGCGGATGGACTCCTTGTCCTTGCTTATGTATACTGTAAACTTTTTGTTTGTTTTTCCTTTTTGCAAAGAGGGATTGGATATTCAATAGACCAGGGAATAGCCTTTATTAATAACATTGTTATTACTCCAATTTACTAGAAATATATACGATTTTTAGTTAACAATAAATACTCCCACTAAAAATTGTATTTTTTTAGCTAATTTTTTTATGGGTTAACCCGGTAAACGAGCAGACGGATCATAAGCTGATGGTAAGCAATCCGCGTCGCCCATGGACACCTGGAACACCAGAGGCATTACAAGTGCGTTACCGGCCTTTTGGACATTATGAATTCGAGAATTATTGAGGATTCGGGTATTGGGGAGATATAGGGAGGCGGGTAACTGGGCCTCCGGTAACCTCACTCACACAACGGTACACAACGCAAGCATTGTTTCACGTCGGTTTTCTGTGAGGCCGTGGTATCACTCAGGTCAAACCGGTCCGTCCATTCGTGCCTAAACGTATTCCTTTTCAAGAGGCCGGCAAAGCAACTGTGACTCCTCGTGTGTTGCGGGTGTCCATGGGCGGCGCTGATCGGCTTACCATCAGGTGATCAGTCCGCTCGTTTGCCTCCTATTCCATAAAAAAGAATGGCTATCCCACACTTAAATAATTTAAGACGTATCTAAGTAAGTCACATTGACTCAAATGAAGTCGATTAAAATCGAAATCGTCGTACTTGAGTAATCCCATTCAAAACTCATAGAAAGAAGTAGGTACATAAGGAATTTGACAAGCTGTCATCAATGTCATCATTCCTATTGAACTTGAGACCTCGACTTACAACCACGAAACCATCAAAGTACACAAACACATACATACCGTGAGTTATTAATAAACAATTTTACATAAAAACTATAATTACAACTAAACCACACTATTAGGGAATATTAAAATTAATACATATTATGGTAGAACATCCACTGTAATAAACCAGTATAAATTGAACTTTGAATGTAAAGAATAATCGTACAACACGAGGCCAGGATAAAATGGTTTTGTGTAACTTGATGAGTCGTATTAAAATTTTGATTAGATTTTTTTTTGTATTTTCAATTGGTTGTTGGGCAATGACTATTAGTGGGCATTGGGCATTGGGCATACAAGTGCAATATTATTCATCAAATTGCTTGCTTTAATAATTAATTTACTTTTAATTGATATATTACTCAGATGTAGGTACATCAAAATCGTGATACTCGAATTCCATGAAAGAAAATATGATGTGTCTGTTTGTTTGTTAGTTTATATCTTGTAAATTGATGGTTTGATTTTAATGAGATTCTTAAGGAATATAGTTTGAGTTTCTTAATAATAATAATATATCGTCTCGTTTATTGTCACGTAAAGGGTAGACAGAGGTTCTTCCATTTATTATATTAGTTCCATCGTGATCCTTAGTTAAATATCAAATACAAGACACAGTTAGAGAATTTAAACTAATGTAAAGATTTGAACGGAAATTTTGAAAGGCGAACTTTCAAAATTTGCCAGATCTAGGAATCGAACTCGAGACCTTATACTTTACAGTCGCGTATTCAATCAAAAAGCCACTAAAGCTCTGTATCCAATAAGTTTTTTTTAGGTAAAGGGAAGATGATCTCATCAATCAAATTAGAAGCGTAGAGCCGCGGGCATAAGGTAGTATTTTGTAATCGTGATGGTTGGACCCATCAGTTTAGACATATGTAGGTCAGCATACTGCCTATACTTGTTGGTTAATACCAGTATAAACTGACCGTCGAATGTACTGAAAGGTCATACTAACTGAGACCATGATACGCTGGTGTTCTATGGTTTCATGCAACAAGCTATTGGCAACCAGTATAAACTGAGCGTTGAATGTGAGGAATGATCATACAAAGCTAGACCATGATAAATTGGTTATGTATAGCTTCATGTGGGTACACAATAACTACTTTATATAGTAAATCAATTTCCTTATTTAATACTGTTTTCAATCACTTTGCTTATGCTTGGTATGTAAAAGGTCTCGGGTTCGATTCGGTATGATGAGATTCCGGGGTCAGCAAAGTGTAGTCGGATTTATCGAGATTTTAATTTTTTTGTTGTTTGTTAGTAGTGTCTAGATAGTTTTAGAAAGTACATATAACTCGGAAACAGTCACATTGGTACTTGCCGTTGGTAGGTTTGGAATCCGCACCCTCATGCATGAGAAGACGTCTTAAGCCTCCGGGCCACCACGACCATAATCCTCTGTTACTTAAAAAAAATATTCCTTTTACAACAAAAAGCTCTCATTTTAACGGTAACTAAATTGCCGTTCATGCGACATACGTTACCAATCAATGAACTACTTGATTCAGAAAATATTTATGAACATAACATAACATAACATCACGCCGTTTTATCCCTGAAGGGGTAAACAGAGGTGCACAATACGGCACTTAATGCCACTGTCCAATGTAACACCCACTTTTCACTATTTATGTTACGAGTCCCATGTAATAGGGGGTGAGCCTATTGCCATATACCGGGCACATTTCCAGACTCCGTGCTACTACTGAGATTTTTAAAAACCCACTAATACTTTTCCGACCCGGGAATCGAACCCGAAACCCCTTGCCCGGCAGTCGCACTAGCGACCACTCGGCCAACGAGGCAGAGGCAGAGGCAGCAATATTTATGAAGTAACGTAATTAAAAAGAATTATGTCGACACATGTCAAATGACAGCATGACAGCTCAAGCACATAGATCATCGATGACAACAAAATCAACGGATGACGTCACAAGAATCCTACATCGCACATGCGAAGTTTACATGCGAATAAACATGGATAGAAAATCCCAACGAACAACTGCCGGGCAGAGAGCCCACCAGGAACGAACACCTCGTCTGGTCGTTACTCTCTGTTCCCTTAAGAAGAATCGCTAGTGGCCCCGTTTCTATGCTCGCAAGTGTAATACAATGCGAAATCAAAAAGCTCTATTATAATTTTCAATTTCAATTATTTAACTCTTACAAAATGAGTTAACAGTGAACCATTACTTGTTAACAATTGTAGCAATACTTAACTGACTGACTGACCAGTGATGAGCACCTATTTAATGACGCAATGATGAATTACTGATGTGCTAACTGGGCCCTTTGTACAGTTACGGACAAATGAAATTACTAATAATAACACATCTTTTAAGTCTCAAACTATACGAATATATATAACTAGCTTTGACCCGCGACTTCGTTCGCGTGGAATAGTAACTTCCGGCAAATTTTTGGTTTTACCCTCATAGTTCCCGATCTCGAGGAATTTTTGGGATAAAAACTATCTGTTCTAAGTTCCAAACTATGTCTGAACCAAATTACACACAAATCGGTTCAGTAATTTAGGCGTGAAGAAAAGACAGACTACCTTTTATCCCCGAAGGAGTAGGCAGAGGTGCACGTTACTGCACTTAATGCCACCGTACAATGTAATACCCACGTTTCACTATTTACGTTATGAGTCCCATGTAATAGGGGATGAGCCTATTGCCATATACCGGGCACGATTCTAGACTCCGTGCTACTACTGAGAACCTACGTTTTTTTGAAGTTGGTTAAATGCTACCCCGTTCCTACTCCTGCTCTTTGGGCCGGAACCACGGCAACCTGGTAAGTCTTCCGCGGCTCCGTATCTGGCATCAGCCTTCCTGGGCCTCGTCTGTGGTGATCTGAT